TAAAATATGTCATCTAGATCGTTTGCCTGTAGGTCTGGAGTATTGATGGTCGTTAAATACCTTTGAAAGGTCATTATATCTTATTTTTATCTGACAATTTGAAGCGTTAAAGAGAATCAAAATAAGTTATAAACAAGGCATATACAAGTCTCCAGCGGTAAGGAAAAGACAAGCATAATTTAAGATATTTTCAAGTCGTGTTCATAGTGTATACTGGTACAGGGCACTCCCGTTACAGTCGTCTCTGGACCAATCATTTCCCCTCCCAATAACAAACTCTTGCGATCGTAAAGAATAAGATAACAGAAATGTATGCCCCCGTCTTCCCAGGAAAATGTAATCCACTGAAAACCATTACAAAACATGCATGGGCAAATATGAACATTCTGTGAATACATGGTCCTGCAAACGGTGTCATGCACATGATGGGTATTAGGAAGTATGTTTATGTCTTTGTATAGAGAAGCAATTATAAAGGATAATAACCAACCATCTGATGCCAGGTTTCAGTTGTGGTAAAACCCTCCTTATAGTTTAGTATGTGCATCGGAGCAGCTACAGGGCATGTGCTTCCGAGACATTCATGTCAGTCATGGAAGCATGTTAGTTTGGGTAAGACAGGGTTAAGCTTTCATTTGGCAAGAATACTTCCTTGATTCACCCTAAAATATTCGGGGAGTGGTATTGAGAGTTCCCCGGTATATGTCCTAATACAGTGGAAAATCGTTATAATGAGGTCCTCGGGACCAAAGAAATTACCTTGTTATATCAGAAATCTTGATATCATGGTAAAAAAAACAAAAGAATATAAAGAGCTGGGACCAGGAAAATCACCTTGTTACATCAGATACTTCGTAACATTAGAGCTCTTTATACCCAGGTTTCACTGCTGTACTAGAGGACCATCACTACAATCACACACACACACACACACACACACACACAAGTAAATGAATACTTTAATTCACCTACACAACTCCAATAAAAGAGTCAGAGCCAATATGTAAGTTGTTTGTTTCATATAAAATTTCATTTAAATATTACAAAAAGACATATACAATCACACCAGCTAGAAGAGGAATAGTGCAGAGATGCCAACCCTTCCTGATTTTGGGGGAGGTTCCCTGAAAATGTGTACTTTTTTGTATACGTCACTCCACACAAATTTTAATGCCTCCCTGATTTTTTGAAAGATTATTTTTATTATGCTGTATGCAATCGATAGAAACCTCCCTGATTTCTGAATGAATCCTCCCTGAAAGCTGAATGTAAAGGTAGGCATATCTGAAAAGTGTCTGGCCAACAGTATCATAGTATTCATGATATACAATTTACACTTCATAACATTTTATGTAACCACTAATCGCTGGTGGATACAGGGGGTTTGTTTTTTTGAAACTGTTGCCCTGAAATCTACCAAGAAAGCACTTCGCCACGATTACTAGAGCAATGACAATGGAATGCTAAAATTAAAATAAAGAACAAAAATAGGGCTCTAAAACAGCTAGAGGCGAGAAGAATTTTGAATCTACAAATATTCAAATAATTGTTACCAATGTGAGGCAGTTTTCATAATATCTACCGTATGTTATATATTATATCTTTATGAACAAATTACAATAAAACATACAAGCTAGGCTCTGTACCAGTAATCAACCCATTCAATGTAACTGATGGCAAATCCAGCTCAGCAATTTTATAATTGTATGGTCTGTTTGACTATACCGGGGGTAATAATGTAAAGCGCTTAGAAACTCGGATATTCCCGACGTATTAAGCGCTATATAAGCAATAATATTATCTTATAAACAATTTTTTTTTTGTTAAACAGAAACCGCTTTATTGTATTGTTTCATAATAATATTCAGTTTTTGTATAGCGCATTTCACATTATACAACATCCCAATGCGCTTCTAAAGAGCTTTGGAAATTACGATTATTTATGTTTATTTCTAATATCTGCATCTGCCAAATTTAGTAGCAAGCAAAGATGAAATCATTGGCTACACAATAGAAGGCTCTTACTGTCATTGGGTTAGGGAATACACTGATCTTTATTACAGCCTTGCGTATTGCCAACAGAATATACACTGACAATTTCTTCTCCAATTTCATTCATGGTAATTGCTCATATTTCTTTTAGACTTTTATGAGGTTCAATAGCAAACGGTCTTTTTAAAAAAGCCTATCAAAACTGATTAACCATTTTCTACCTGTGTAAAAGGAAAATATAAATGTGGAGTTTTCATACATTATACAGGAAATAGAATAGAAATGTTTTTTGTTAAAAAGAGATCGCAGCCAATGGCTGAAATGCGATCCATTTCACATAGATACAATACAATTGCAATTCAAATTGAAATAACACATATGACATAAATCAAAAATCAAACATATAGACATTTCATAAAAATTAATTGATCAAATTCAAATTTTTGTTAAAAAAAGAAAGGGAAAGGGAGAGGTGTAGGAGAGGGAGAGTTGGAGTGATGACAAAGAGAGAGTAAGAGAGAAAGAAAGAGAGAGAAAGAAAGAAAAAAGGGAGATGAAAGGGAGAGAGAGATGAAGAGACAGACAAAGGGTACCAGGTTCCGCACACACATAAACTTTATAAAAATTTGATGACATATTCATTGATTGCTCTACATTATAAAATATATATTTATTACCTAATACATCCATATATATTACTAGTATCTTAAATCGTATACCATACAATTGACAACATGGTTCATGTTACACAAATGTTTCATGTTTATACAGTTGGCATAAAAGACAGTGATATTAACTAGTAGACAGAAATACTTTTCAAAGATAACCTGCAGCACACGAGCATGTAATAATATAAAACAGATAGCAGGGTTTCGTTTTTCATCTTTACCAGATTGCACATGATGGCAGTTTGAGTCTCTACACAAACTTAAAATCTACCCAAAATTTTAAAAAAATATGTTTTACTTTACATGTTAGGGGTTTAATGTCACTGTACTACATAATTATTCACAATAAAAGCTTAAAATACTACTTCTACAGAGAGATATTGCAAGTTTAAATACTCTCTCCATGAACATAAAAGTGACTTGTGAGTGATCTACTCGGTGCACCATAACGCATTCGCACCATATAGAAAAGAGCCTGTAGGGCACCATGCAAGTCCGACTTTGGCTCCGTGAGGGAGGTTTTAGGTTATCCTTAATTTACTTTATACTCCTTTTGGCCCGTATTCAATTCAATACTTACGTACAAAGCTTTTTACTTTTGTATTTGGCTTAGATAAAATACTTAGACAATTTTGGTATTCAATTCAAACTTTTGGCTTGGTATTTTACCCTAAATTTAAGACAGCTCCCTACCATGCAGACTTAAGCCAATTATTTGGAGGCCTTGATTGGCAGGCATGTGGCTTTCTTACGAGCAGTATCATAACCTGCGCACAATTTTATTAGCGCACTTTTATTGCGAGCCGTTAATTGTGCATTACTTTTTATTGACTGTGTGATGTCACAATGCTTATCGGTAAGTATTTTACTTAGATTTTGTCTCAGGTAAGTAAAAGTCTAAAAATGGGATATGAATATGAGATAAGTAAACTTCTTAGCTCAGCCATTTACTTAGTAAATTTCTTACTTATTCTATTAAAGTATTGAATTGAATACCGGCCCTTCTCCGTGAGCCCATAAGATACCTGCTAAGAAAAGTTGTGGTTTATTTTATGTATTCTTGCTGAACACTTGCTATTAACTTAAAGCCATTTTTTAGTACTTGATGTGAAGCTTTATTTCAAGAAAGGAGGAAGGGAGGCACGACGGCTCAGTGACAGTGGTAGAGCGTTGGTTTCCTAACCTGAAGGTGCTGGGTTCGAAACCAAGTCAATGCCATAATGCCCTTTGGGAAGTCACTCAGAGAGGACTTAATAAAGTCGTTGGTCCCCTGCTTACTTAGTTACAAGCATAAACATGAATTCTTAGCATTTAGGTCAAACAAACAAATAAAATTTTTTGTTTAAGTTAGAATGAATATGTGACCCTATATGTAACAATAATGAGTTCTATATTTTAGGCCAGCCAAATGTAACACAATATTGCTAAAACACTCCATTTTCCAATCAAATGGCTAGATTCTTTCTACAAAACACACTGGTAATAAAAATGAGTAAGAACCTTGATTACAAATGTCCATTAATATGGTAATAAAAATTGCAAACAGTAATGATGTTTATGGGTATAACAAACAGTTCTATGAAATATTTTAAAGATCCTGACAAATTCACTCATCAAATCAGGCTAAAATGCAGACTGAAAATATGTTAAAATGTAAAACAAGAAAAGTAATCGAAATAAAATTGTAAGCAAATCAAACATTTGTAATGCAAGGAATATCACACACAGTAAAGGAGTTTAAAATGCTAGTAGCCATATAAATGGAACCTAAACAAAATTTGTTTGGCTCTTTCTCATGCTCCAGAGAGAAAAATAAAGTTTAGAGACCTGGAAGCTCTGATATAAAATTAGAATTAAATTTATATACCTATTAAAATAACAAATCAATTTGTCTATCTTTTGTTTTTTTCTGGCAAGATTCATAACAATTTGTAAGGACATCTAAAGGGGAAGTCCTTCCTTGAATTAAGTTTCCTTTGATCGAAGCAAAGTAATGAGAGAAACAAATCAGATAGTTTTAGGAAAATCTAACAAAGGCCGGGATAAGAAAGTTTGGATGTTGTAACATTTCGGTTTCCTTTGTGAGAAGCTGAACATGTTTTTCTTCACAAGATTTCTTTTAAGAAATGATGTTTCTACAAAGTACCTCTCAATCCCCTACATCTCTTCATTAAGAACAAAGAAAATGGTATTTCTTTTAATCTCTCAGTTTAAAAATAAATAATTAAATAAAAATAAAATCAATATAAAAAATGGATGGCTGCTCTGGAACTTTAAACATTTTTATTTCTCTCACAGATTGAATTTTCCTTTCTCCAATACGTGTTACTTATATTTTACATGTTTTTATTACATGAATGACAAACAAGATGTCAGAGTGAACTTGCAACCTGACAAAAGACAACTTTCTCATGATGGACAGATACATAATATAAACAACCCAATAGAACTTGGGAATCTTCAGGTACACTGGATACAACCGAGTACATTATGAACAGTACAAGTAATAGATGATCATTTGCATAAAAAACATATAGAAAACCTTCCTTTAGTCATAAGGATCGATTTGCATCTACTTTGATATCGAGGTGTCAGTGACACAAAGACGTAACTCCATTTTGAGAAAAAGTGGTTTATGTGTCACTGAGCACTTGGGTCTTAAGGAGTTAAGTCTATGTTTCACTAGCCATTGACTTCAATGGGGTGTCGGGTAGAGCTACGTCTTTGCGTTTCCTGGAAAGCCCACATTTTTCTGAACATTTTGATATCGAATACATATTTTGGCAAAATATGGAGTTATACCGGTACGTCTTTGTGTCACTGAACCCTCGATATGCGACACCGGAAGAGGATTAGCTGTCGGGGTAAGGAGGGGGTGCAGACGGGACCGCACCCGAATCACCAGGAGGAAAATGATATGTAACGGAAGCACCTGTAGGTGGTGGGTAGGGCATGGAGGAGGAGGGTGCAGAGGGGTATGATGGTACCGATGCTGGTGGGGGGTATGCCCCCTCCGGTCCTAGCCCACCATACGACGAATACTGGGCGATATCATCGTACGATGGTGGTGGGAGGTCCGGTTGACCGGGGTCAGGATGGACAGCAATGGCTGTAGGGATGTTGTCCTCATCCTCGACTCGTATCATAGCACCCGACTCGAGGGGTCCTTCGATTCTTGTCTGGGTCGTTATCTGCACATTGTCTGGTGGTTTCTTCTTATCCCCTTTACAACAACAGTAATAGCAACAGCTTATTCCAAATAATGATCCGATGACGATTCCAGTTATTGCCCCTCCTGATAAGCCACCCCCTCGTCCTGTAATCAGGGAACACAAAATGACGAAGAATTCAATTTAAAAATTCCTCATGATCAGATAATTAATAGATTTTCATATAAACTGATTTCCCTTCAGAGCGATTTACTTTAAAGATTGGATTTCCTTTTATGTCACAGATCATCATTTCATGTAGTCTTATCATTCACACTTTGCATGCACCAGGCCATTTCAGTATGATGTGCATCATCTTATGCCACCGCTGCACAACTGACCACATTCAGTCCAGTTTTGAACTGCTTTTTACAGGGGCATGAGGAACACATCTGTATAAGAGTGACCACCATTGATTAACAAAAAGACAAAATAGTGGGTTTAAGGGGCACATCCAGCATGTGGCCCTATAAAAAGAAGACTCCAAAACGACATGTGCAAATTGTAATTTTGTTTCTTCTGTTTTTTTGTTTTTGTTTTAATGTTTTCTGTTGCTTGTCAGAGATTTTTGGGGCATTAGGCGTCCCCCCCCCCTCCACCTTTTGTATATTGTGGCGTAACCGGGCTCTGCCGGGGTAGCGTTCTGCCTTGCAGTCTGTCAAAACCCGGTCCACGCTCTCGACAATCATTCATCAACTATATCTCTCAGTGGGCTCTCACAAAAGTTATCGTGTAAGAAATAACGTGGATTAGCTCTCATTCACTTACTCCCGCAATCACAGAATATCTGACAGGACTAAAGAAATAACACTTACAGAGTGTTGGCAGTTTGGGTAACTTTATATAGTTTCTTGTACCTGTCGCAACGACAGCTCAACATTGACTGACCGACATCTTACGATGTCCATGCACATATATATTTCACAATTATCAGAAACGCCCTCTATGTCTTACTAACTTACTGGACTAGTTATGCTACACAGCCCCTCCCCAAGTGTGGACAGTCCTCGGACCACCCTTTGGCCAAACACGATGATATGTCATCGGAATAATCTTTCGAAAAAAAGTATACAAATACTTAAAAACTCCTTAAACTACATATAAAAACTAAGAAATAAGAACAAATGATCTATGTACAATATTAGAGAAAGAACAAAAGAGGAGTAGGGAGAAATGGGAAGGTTTAGGAAAGAAAAGGTGCGGAAGGAATAGGACCAGAAATTCTGAAGTAAAGGAATACATGGAATAAACACAAGGCATAGGTGTATCAAGGCGTACATAAAAATGTTTCACTAACACAAAATATATGCTTATACATGTTAAAATAAACATAATCCCCTTCTTTTCTTCTGCTATCCTACAAATACAATATACCAGTGTACATGTCCCCATGAAAACACGAGGTATATACGGCAAGTGACTGATACAGTAATGGCAAGTATAAACAAACTTAAAACAATGCATCCTTGTACTATCGTAAACACGATATATAGTTGCATAGTAACAATACAACATAAGTAATTCTTTCACTTTGGCAAAGTGCAACATAAGAACTTGAGTAGAGTGGAAGAACAAAAGAAGTAGAGAGAGAATGAATGAAATTATGAATTGAAAGACAGGCGAAGAGTAAAGGGTAGAAGGAATGCAGGATTCAAGATGAATGAACAACAAAATACATAGTTGGAATGGCAAAGTACTGGCTGCTTAGTTTGAGTTTATGCAAGATCAAATAAGTTGGGCCTTGGTGGTTCCCACCACCACGTCTACGGAGTACACTCTCTTGGTTTCGTCCTCGGATACGACCTCCCCGCCCTGAAACACTCACTTTGTGGTCGTTTCTGTTATCGCTGTGACCCGGCCAATCATGGCCCTTTCAAGTTCACCGGCTGACATCCAGGCTTCAAGAGAGCTGTCATTGTGGACGTGGTGGAGGTCGGTGATGAATGGGGTCTGCTGATCACATCCTCTTATTATAGGTTTTCCCGGCCTATTTCGTCAAAGCAGCGATCAATTTCACTAACGTGCATTCATGTTTGAGCAAATTTTCTCCACTCGTTGCTCCCCTGTTTCATTTTTAAACTTGTTGCATTCAATTTCGTTTCGAGTCACCGAATGTTTGAAACATGCACATTCAAATTAACGTTTGGTTCAGTCAATTTGGAAATGCGCAAGCGTCATTCAATTTCGCCAAAGTTAAGTGGGAGGACAATTCTTTTTGGCGAATTGCGTTTTCATTTTCGTCCATGGGCAACCTCTTTCGCAATCGGGTCATTCAAATTAAAACAAGACCTCATCAATATTGTATGAGGCTCGATGTTTATTCGGATATTCACGTTTTCATGTTCATTTATTTATTCTTTTTCTCTATGATCTTTTCTGACATGATTTCACATTATACAAGCTCCTTATTTGTCTGATATATTTATATTGCTTTCAATATTTTCTTTCTTTCGATCTTTATTTCTTAATGAAACATTTCTTTAAACAGTCATGTCTTCATATTTTTTTAAATTATAAATGAGGTTATTTGTAAATGTTATTTTGTAATCAATCCTGATTGAGTAGGACATCTATATTTATTTTCATTTTATATCTTTTTATTTATTCATCATTGTATTTTGTTCCCATCATGTCCATGTCTAAAGCTCAACTCTACCGCTGTCCAGGATCTGTGTATGTATAGCTTGTGCTTAGAAGAGAAGTCACAACTTGTGCACCTTCTCTGGGGACAATTAACTGTGTAATGGCAGATATCTGCTAACGAATGCGCATAATGATTCCTATAAGTAAACTTCGCATTAAATTATTCAAACAGAAGTATATTAAGTGACAAATTAACATCAAATGAAAAGCAATGCACAAATGTTACATATGGATGCCTAATCACGAATTTGACTGCACGAATACATACCACCGTCTGTCCGGCACGAATTTGAATGCTCTTTGCATGCTTTTCTAAATTGAATGCTCATTTTGCACGTCTCCGTGACAAGAGTATGAAATCGCATGCTACTAAATCAAATTGAACGACGCAAATAGCTTTTTGAATGTTGATCTACATAGTCATTCAATTTCGCACGAACTTGAATGAACGTAACGTTAATTCGGATGCTAAGTTTACGAAGTTGGGCGGGAAAACCTATATTACCATGTGATATTTCCTCAGTTTTTGTTCTTGAATCAATTTTGTCTGTCCGCAAAAATATGTAGAGGAGCTAGTCTCCTCTACACTAACTAGGTTGCCCGGCAAAATATTGTTCATCTCCAGGGCAGAGATGTCCTTCCCTACTTTTATTTTTTGGGGATCGGAGGTGGCTGATTCCCCAGAATCGTCGGATTCGGAGTCTGACGATTCCTCCTCCATCTGCCGAATCATGCTTAGCACTTTACCTTTCGGCTCAGCTACCGCGTCCACCGCTCCCTGCGTCGATGGGGAGACGCGGATCTCAATAGCATCGATCCCGGAGCTGGCGGGTGTAGTCAGCGTCACATTCGTAGGTTCCACTTCCTTTGTACAGTGCCTCGACAATCCCTCCTTATACTTCCTTTCCCTGGCAACATCTCTCTGCCTTTCCCTCGACACATCCCTCTGCCTTTTCCTCGACACATCCCTCTGCCTTTTCCTTGTGACCTCTCTTTGCCTTCCTCTGGAAACATCTCTCTGTCCCTCTTGGCACCTGTCTCTTGGCCTCTCTCTCTCCTGGTCATGCCACATTCTGCGATGGGTATTTAAATTGTCCCTGTGGCTATATTCCTTTCCACAGATATCACAGGAATAGGACCGATTACGGTGAACATCCGTTATGTGGCGATTTAGACTCCTCCTATGCGAGAAGAACTCCCCACAGGTATAGCACTTCAAGTTGTTCTCGTTAGCCATTCGATCCCTCATCTTGAAATTCTACATAAAAGAGACACAAACAGCAGATAGATTGGTTTAGTTGCAGATCCAAATATGTTACACCTTACATAACAATCAGTGCTTATGTTGCATATCTACTAGGGAGATTCCTATTTCTAGGAGGATTTCTAGGAGCTGGGACAGGAAGCTTTCTTGGTGCTGGTTCAGGGGGTTCAACATGGTTTGTAGCTTCCTCATCGCCGTGGTCAACCTCCTCCTCTATGTCTCGAGCATCCTGAGCATCATTGCTCTGATTTGCATTGGTCTCTAGCCAAGACTGAAGTGGTACCCCTTGGTAGGGTTTCAACCTGTCTACATGCACTACCTTCAGTTTGCCATTTTTCTTCCCCTGTATCCGACAAGTGACGTCAGACAATTTCAGAACAAAGAGATAAGGCCCTTCCCATTTTCTTTGAAGCTTTGGGGAGTTTTCTTTGGTCTTTGCCTTGTTGTGGAGCCAAACAAACTCTCCCTCTACCATAGGATTACCTTCTGCCTTCGCATCATAGGTCTTCTTTTGGCGCCGGGCACTTTCCGCGAAGTTGCCTCGGGCTCTCTGGTGTGCTGCTCGCATTCGTTGCCTCAGGGCAAACGCATAATCCGTCTTCACATCGATCACCCTCTTCACCCTCGTCACCCTTCAAGGCCTCTGTCGTCAGGTCAATTGGTAGATGCAGCTCCCGCCCTAACATGAGCATGTTAGGCGTTTCTCTGGTGGAGTCTTGGGGAGCACTGCGATAGGCAAACAATGCAATTGCCAATTTCTCGTCCCAATCCCTTTGTCGCTTATGTGGTTCTATCATCATTGAGATCATGTTCAACAGAGTGCCATTAAACCTCTCAATGAGTCCATCCGACTTGGGGTTGTATGGGGTGGTACGGGTCTTGTGAATGCCGAGGACGCGGCACATCTCCTGAAAGACGCACGACTCAAAATTTCGGCCCTGATCCGAATGTAGTACTGTAGGCACACCAAACCTGCAGACAAATTCGTTGACCAACTTGTCTGCAACCGTTACAGCCGTTTGATCTGGTATCGGGTAGGCTTCCATCCACTTGGTAAAGTAGTCCCCCACTACCAAAATGTACTTGTTTCCTCTTTCCGTCTCTGGAAGAGGACCTACCACGTCCAGAGCTACCCTCTCCATGGGCATTCCAACACAATCCTGCTGTAAGGGGGCTTTCCGTTTCTTCGTCGGTGACTTCTTTGAGGCGCAAACATCGTACTGCCGAACTATCGAGCGGATGTCAGCATCCATTCCTACCCAATAGAACCTCATGCGAACTTTATTTCTGGTTTTGTTCATGCCCAGGTAACCACTAGACTTGCCACCATGCAATTCCTTCACAACCATCTCTTGAAGCTTCGCTGGTAAGACAACATGCCATGTTATCCTCTGGCATCGGTCACATTCCCATTTCCTGTAGAGAACGCCTTGCTTCAGTTCCAACTGTGCCCACATCCTCCAATAGGACTTCTCCACTTTGGACTTTGAAGCCATTGTTGACCAATCCGGCCGGTCCGCTGACTGCTGCTTTGCTTCCAGGACCCACTTGATTGAAGGATCTTGCGCCTGGTCTTGGCTCATCTGCTCATTACTGATGCTGGGTTCTATCGTAACCGCTCTTGCCTCCGCTTCGCTATCTCGGGGTACCTCCACTTCCGGTGCTATTTGTCCATCAGCGATTTCCGACTTCTCGAAATTCCGCTTACACTGAGGACAAGGTCGTCTTGAAAGGCCATCTGCATTGGCCTGTGATTGTCCAGCACGGAGCACGATTTTGAAATCGTACTCTGCTATTACTTGCAACCATCTAGCCATCTGTCCCTGCAGATCTCGGAAATTCAAGAGCCAACGGAGTGCCCCATGATCAGTCCTAACCGTGAATTTCTGACCATACAAGTACTGTCGGAACTGCTTCAGAAATACCACCACGGCCAATAACTCTTTCCTAGTGACGCAGTAATTCTTCTCTGCTTTATGCAGCGCCCTGCTAGCATAGGATATGACTCGCTCCTTCCCGTCAACCACTTGAGACAAGACAGCTCCAATCCCCTCGTTGCTAGCGTCTGTATCCAATATGTACGCCTCTTTTGGGTCGGGGTATGCCAAGATTGGTGACTCCTGCAGTCGCTTCTTAAGTTCTTGGAAGGCATCTTCACACTCTTCTGTCCAGGAGAATGTCTGGCCTTTCCTGGTTAGCCGATGTAATGGGCGGGCAATGTTGGCGAATCCTGCGATAAACCTTCGGTAGTAGGAAGCGAGTCCTAAAAAACTCTGGACTTCCTTGACACTTGTAGGGACTGGCCAATCCCTCACCGCTAGGATCTTTTCCGGGTCTGTAGAGATGCCTTCCCCAGACACCACATGTCCCAAATACAGAACACTCTCCCGGAACAAGTGGCATTTCCTGGGCTTCAGCTTCAGACCTGCCTGCCGGAAGCGCTGGAAAACCATGCCAAGCCGAGCCAGCTCATCTGCAATTGTCTTTGCAAATACTATTACATCATCCAGGTACACCAAGAGTACTTCCCAATGCAGACCTCTAAGGACCCGTTCCATCAGTCTTTCAAACGTAGAGGGAGCATTACATAAGCCAAAAGGCATCACCTTCCAACTATACAGTCCTCCCCTCACCACAAAGGCCGATTTCTTCTTGGCTTCTTCTTCCAACTCCACTTGCCAATATCCTGAGGCCAGGTCCAGAGTTGAGAACCATCTGGCGCCTCCAAGTGTATCCAGCGAATCATCGATGCAAGGAATCGGATATCCATCCTTGATTGTCAAGTTGTTCAATTTTCGATAGTCAACACAAAATCTCTTTGACCCATCCTTCTTCTTTACAAGTACGACATTAGATGACCACGGACTGTCCGAAGGCTCTATTCGGTCATCCGCGAGCATGTTCTGAATCTGTCGATCAATTTCCTCTTGTTCCTTGGGCGGGAATCTACGGGGCCTCTCCCGAATCGGGGGACTATCTCCCGTGTTGATCTGATGTTTTACAAAGTCTGTCTTTCCAATGTCTGTGTCGGATGTTGCGAAAATATCCTGATTTTCGCACAACAACTTGGCAATTTGCTCATGGAACTTCTCATCGATTCCTTCCGTACTCCTCTCAAAAAGATCTTTGAGATGTTCAGGGACTACATAGCTTCCTTCTGCAGGTAGTGTGTTGCCTCTGCACTCTTCTATATCTTCCTCACTGATGACAGAAAGATGCCCTGCTAATGTACCCTTGCGGATCATGCATGCCTTGGTTCCTGGATTGAAGACTCGAATAGGTAGGGTTGCTGTTGTGGTTTCTACGACCACCCGTGCGACAGCAATTCCCTTATTGAGGAGTTCACCGTTCACCGGTGGTTCTATGAGGGCAAATCCTGTCCCAATTGGTGCTCCTGTAGCGTGACCTGGAAGCACAACTTCCTGACCAGGTGGTACACTGACGGTTTTCCCCACCACAACCCTGGAGCAAAAGGCACCTCCTCGTACATCAGTACATTTGATTCTCTCTCCCATGATCTGGAGTTCCTTGGCCTTAAAATCAAGAACTGCCCCATTTGGAACTAGTATGTCCAATCCTAAGAGCCCAGCATCTTGAGCGCATTACGTCATCAATGGATCTCTAGATCTGTCAGATGGTCGATGACGTCACCCGGCGATCACCCGACAATCCTCGCACAGGGACAATAATAGATCTTCTATTTACTAATCGCCCGCATTTGGTTTTGGATGTGTGCACTCAAGCAAATCCAGTAACGAGCGACCACCATGCGATCTGTTTTAAGGTCAAGTTGAAAAAGATGTCTCCGCCAAAACAAATTTTGCGTGACTATCTACAATATAACAAGGCTGACACAGAACATTTCAATAACATACTGTATTATGCTCCTTGGGATTTATTTATGGATACTGATAATATTGATAATTCTTGGGATGGTTTTATGGATATTTTTGATGCAGCGGTTCGTGATTGTATTCCCCGCAAAAAAAGCCGCAATAACCGTTTAAGCCCCTGGATAACACTTGACATTAAGAAAATGATCAGTAAGAAAAATAGAATGTTTAAGATATCGAAACAGTTGAATACCAACGATAGTTGGCAGGCGTATAGGGAACTTTGTAACCAAGTGAAAGTATTGATAAACAAGTCGTATTATTCGTATTTGAATGAATTGTTATCAGATAGTGACGATAATAGGAAAAGGTTTTTTGCATTTGTTCGTAGTAAGAGGAAAAACCGTGCTCCCCTTTCAATTGACAACAATGGATTACCCGAACATGAACCGAGCAAGATCGCACAGGTGTTTGCCAATTATTTCAGTACCATGTTCACTCCAAATAGTACTTGTAATGATATTCCCGAACCCAGGTCGGAACACAGTGCATTCGTACCATATTTACAGAATGTCAATATTTCTACATGTGATGTCTCTAAGGTGATACGAAACCTGCGTAATGATAAATCACCTGGTCCGGATAACATAACCCCAAACCTCTTGAAAATGTGTTCTGTTCCAATTTCACCCGTTTTATGCAAGTTATTTAATATTTCTTTGTCTCTTGGTCAATTGCCAATGTCTTGGAAACAGGCCAATGTTTCCCCGATACATAAAGCTGGTGATAGCTCCTTACCTAGTAATTATAGACCGATTGCACTGACATCCGTAGTGTGTAAAATCATTGAAAAAGTAATAACGAACGAAATCCAACACCATACAACAGAATATCGTTTACTCAACCCTAATCAACATGGCTTTGTTAAAGGTAAATCGTGCGTCACTCAATTGCTAAACGTTACAAACCGTTGGCTACGTATCTTAGATGTACCATCCCCTCCAAAGATTGATGCGATTTTTCTCGATTTCCAAAAGGCTTTCGATTTAATGCCTCATGATGTATTATTGCAAAAACTTAATTCAAGGTATTTTATTTCAGGATCATTATGGCAATGGATAAGGTCTTTTTTGTGTAATAGGGAGCAAAGAGTTATTCACA